AGGGGAGCTCTGAGCTTCCGGCTAGTGCATGGAATTGTCCGCGGTGCTGGGGCGGTCGTTTCAGAGAAGTGCAGCAGGCTCGTGCATCATCCCTCACCCCTGGGACAGAAAGAAATTGGGGTGGACCCTTCCCTGGCTGGGGAGCACTTTTGTGGCCTGCTGCTAACTAAGGGGCAGGATTTCTCCTCCGTGATGCTCATTGTACTGCCATTGTGTGGCAGGCCGATGGGGCGGAGGGCTGGGCTAGAAGAAGGGGAGTGTGGGTCAGGGCAGGCCTTTCTGCTGCCTCTCAATACTGCGCTCACTCAAGGGCTATTGAGCAACTGAGCCCCCAGACCCTTTGCACAAGAAACTGAACAGATGCCCCTTTCCAACCATCTCCTGGGGCTCCTGCAAAACCCGGAGGGGAATGACAGTAGATCTGGATTCAGAGTGATGCAGGGCTGCTCTCTGACCTTTGAGCTGCCTGCCAGCAGCTGTAGGAAGAGGGATTTACTCCTGAGGAGGGAGTTGGATAAGACTAATGCAAGCAGCGAGCTGTGCCCAGTATGCCCTTCACACTGTGCTCAAAGCTGGTTACCAGATATCCTGATTTTATAGGGACAGTCCCAATATTTGGGAATTTTTCTTATATAGGTGCCTATTACCCCCCACACTCTGTCCCAATTTTTCATACTTGCTATCTGGTCATCCTATTTCCATGGAAAATCCAGCTTGTTCTTTATTTAATCCGCTGAACACAAGCAACATTTCCCAGGGGCTGACATGCAAACGCTCTGTTAACATGCACTAGAATATCGGTGCAACTGGGGAGCTGCGCTAGTGCCACCAGTAAGCAACGAAGCAGCCAAGCAATGCAGCTGTGCTGGGAATCTTTTTTCTGGGTCTTGGGGGAGGGCAGCTTGGCCCTTGCAGCCATTTTGTGCTTCAGTTCAGCTGCAGAGTGTTACAGCATCATCACTCTGCGCTCTCTCTGGCACTGAGACTTGAGATTTGTTCTCACTTTGCTGCTTTCCTTTATCTGAAGGAAAAGGTATGTTGATTGGGAAAGCCATGATCTGCTTGAGATGTGTAAGGAGAAACATAATCCCTAGCTCTTAGCTACCATTTTTCACCAGTAGATCTCAAAGTACTTTACGGAGGAGCTCAGTGCCTTATCCCCATTTTACATGGATGAGCACAATAAATAATAATACAGGGCCAAATCCTCAGCTGACGTGCATTGGCATGGCTCTATTGAAGGCAATGGCGTTACAATGACTTACCTTAGCTGAGGATCTGGCCTGTAGCACGCTGATCCATCCCTAGGAAACACGGCAGTGTGAGGCTCATGAACTGACCCCCTGCTTGAGGTATTTCTCAGCCAGCAAAGCATCGGCTATTGGAGGGCTCTTTACTCTAGCAGACAAAAGCATCATAAAATCCAATGGCTGGAAGTTGAAGTCCACAAAGTTGAAACTGGAATTAAAGCACACATTAGTGCGGGGTGAGGATACTTAACCATTGGAACAGATTAGCAAGGAGGGGGCATGTTCACCATCACTTGGCGCTTCAGATCATCCTTGAGTGCAGATGACCTCCCCACAGGGCAGGCCAAGCAGTGCTGCGGGTGTCTGATGCTTTAACGTGGGAGGAGGGCTGGGCACAGACAATGGCTAGCAATGGAAAAAATAATATTTCACAGGCGTACTCCAGAGCTAAGAGGGTCCCCATGCTTAGAAAGCAGCAAGGCAGATTGCATTGCAGGTGCAGGTACTGCAAGTGACATTGATTTAGAGTGGCCAATATGACTCAATGTCAATGGCAGAGTTACAGCCTTTAACCTGGGTCCTGCAGCTCATTGCAGGGTTAGTCCAGAGATGCTGTACAGAAATGTAAAGCAAACCTTGTTTCATGCTTTCTTACCTAGAGTTAACTGATTGCCAATTCACTCAAGGGAGTTCACACATTCGTAAAGGCCAGTGTGAACACTCCCACACCTGTGTTCCAGACTGCGGATGCTTGTAATTTATCCTAGGCTGGCCCCTGGCCTGGTATGGACATTTGAGGAGTGTCCACACAGGCCTTTACAAATGTGTCACTGGTCACTGTCAGAGACTAGATGGACCTCAGGTCAGGATTTGAGCCAGTCCAGCAATTTCTAAGTGCTTGTGAAAGGGAAAAAAAACAAACCGAGTGCTATGGCAGCCATTTAAAACCAATGTCCCACCAGGCAACCAGCCCCTCTGAGAAGAGGCCAATAACAGCTGGAAGCCAGCAACAGTTGGCCCCGGGTCTGCAGAGGCACTGTCCTAGCCTGTGGAAATGGACACTCAGAGGTACCAGAGAAATTGCTGTGATTCACATGAGCTACTGTAGACATCCCAGAGATTTTTTTGGAGGGGTGGGGGGAGTGAAAATGAGGGTCCTCAAGGAACAGTGAAGGGAATGAGAGAGTCTGTGTCAAGGTCAACAGGATGGGTGCAGCTATGCACCAGCATTGCCAGAGGCAGCAAGACATGTCACAACTGCCTGAATCCATAACCAGTTCCCCAGGTCAGAGGCTATGTCCCCAGGTAAACAAGGGCCACATTTTCAACCCTGATCAGCCTGCATGCACCCAACATTTCTTATTAATAACACTAATTATTGTTTATTCCTGCAGTATCTAAAACCCAGCATCACAGACCAGGAACCCATCGCACCAGGTGCTGCACAAACACAGCTGAGCTCTGGTGAAAATCTGGCCCCAACTTTGGTGCTGAGCCCTTCTGAAGATCTCAGCCAAACTACACAATAAGGGGCTTTGAAAACTCTTTCAGGCTCTTTTGCCTGGTTCTATGGGATGTTCTGTCAAAGTTAATAATACTGCTGTGGAGGAATTATAGTAGAGACGCTCCCCATGTTACGCAAGACCCGACTTATGCAAATTTGCACTTACGGAAAAAGTTCCATAAGCCAGAAATAGGATTTTCGAGCTGCGGAAACTTTTGCGTAACGTACAGGTATACATTTCCGACTTACGCAAAATTCAAGTTATGCAAGGCTTTCCGGAACGGAACGATTGCGTAAGTCGGGGGGGCGTCTGTAACTAAAAGGGAGATCTGAATGTGGGGGGTTTCCTCTCCAAAAAAAGAATTATTTCCCCCCCCCCCCCTTTGTTTTTTTACATTAGAAATTCTGGTCCTGTCTTGGCTGGAAGACTATGGTGAGACAAAAAGGGAAAGTTGAGAGATTGAAGGGGAGGGGGCTCTTTAAAATGCTTTGATTTTTGGTAACACCTATTTTAACTTCAGTGGCTGAGGAACTTTTGCCTTTGTTAAAGATTCAACGTTTTCAGTCCTTCAGCTAAGGTGTTAAATGCTCACAATAAACACCTTAGGGCTGGTCTACACTGGGGTGGGGGGGGATTGATCTAAGATATGCAACTTCAGCTACGCTATTCGCGTAGCTGAAGTCGAAGTATCTTAGTTCGACTTACCTGGCCGTCCTCACAGTGGCAAGTCGACCGCCACGGCTCCCCCGTCGGCTCCGCTTACTCCTCCTGCCGAGGTGGAGTATGGGCATCGATTCAGGGATCGATTTATTGCATCTAGATGAGACGCGATAAATCGATCCCCGATAGATAGATTACTACCCACCGATCCGGCGGGTAGTGTAGACGTGGCCTTAGAAACTTCCCAGAGATTCTCTGGCAAAGACAAGGAAGACAAGACTACACTACTGATACTGTATTTCTAAAGGTTTGTCTACACATGAAAATTAATCTGGATTAAGGGAGGGTGTGAATTTAAAGCAATTTAGCTATTCCTGATTAACTCATGTGCGGACACATTTATTCTGGAATAAGAATGCCATATTACAAATTAGCTAAATCCTCTGGCATTGACCAGGAATGGTTAATTGGGAATAGCTATTCCGGAATAACTTCCCATATAGACAAGCCCTATAGTAAAAAACAAACATGGAAAGCAAAAATTAAAACAAACAAACAAAAAAACTTTCCAGCCTTCTTTGTACATTGTATGGAGATTTAAAAGGGCCATACTCCCAATTTTGTAAACATCCTTTGAAGGTCACCTTTAAAATAGCTAAAAAGAGTGGATGTGGGGAGAAGAGGAGAGATGTAAGAGCAAGTTCAGCATTGCCAACCCCAATCATTCAAAACCCATGAGTCAGGCCCCCAAACTCAGAGTTTGGCTTTAAAATCATGAGATGTTAAACAGTCAATGTTGGGTTCTTTGCATTTGCCTTCTGGTGTCTGATCTTAGAGCTAGAAACTTACTTTAAAAAAAGAGCAAACTGGTTTGATTCTGGCATGTTCACATGACTCCAAGAGCTGGGACTTTAAGAAAAAACAAATCCTGTGTGACTGATAATACAATCAGGAGAGCTGGCAGCACTACTACCACCGCTACTCTGCATCAGGGTGAGTGAGAAGTGTGCAGAAGCCTGCGCAGCTTCAGGTTGAGCTGAATGCGCATGCCACTGATGGCAGGCCTCGGCCTCCTCTCCTGGTGTACTGAATGCCACACACAACAGGGCAAGAACCCTGTCTGAGTCCCTCCTCTCACACCTCTCCATTTCATAGCACTGCTGCAAGTCCTGCTGCAGGACCAGACTCTGGAACATTCTGACATAGCTGCTATGTGCCTGGTTGGAGAGGAACACAGGAATTGCCAGCATGGCTCAGACCCAAGGTCCACCTGGGCCTGGGCTTCACAGAAAGGCAAGAGCCTCACCCAAAGCAGCTGGTGGATCATCTCCCCGCCCAGCAAAGGTCTCATCCGAACCCCTAACAGAGACTGACTTAACCCTGCCTACATTAATGGGAATTGTTCCCTGGCCGAATCACAGGGTCCTAACGGGACCTGGCAGGAGTCGCCTCCCACTCCCATAATTCCCGTCCACGTTTTGGGACGGGCTCGGAGAGCCAGGCCATGTGCTAGTAGCGATCGCAGCGGGTATAAAGAGGGACAGCACAGCACGTAGCGCAGCCCGTGTCCGTAGCAGGGCAGAACGGCGCTCTAGTTGGCCCGGGCCAGGGGCCTGGCTGCGGAGGCTCCGGCGGAGGCTGCCCGTTTAGTAAGGGGACCGCGGGCACCGCTGCAGGTTGCTACGAGCTGTGAAGTCACTGCGGAGCAGCCGCCCCATGGGGAGCGGGGTGTGCCGGCGGGGACGCATCTGAGTCGGTCGGGGAGCTGCAAAGAGGTGAGAGCGGGGAACGCTCCAGCCCCCCAGCTGGCCACTCCCGGGGTGTAGCGAGCGCTGGGCTCCCGCCCCAGGCAGGGCAGGTTGGCAGCTGGGCGGCGCAGTAACTGGTGATACTTCCTCTGTCTGCACGTGCTGGCCGGGCTCAGGCGGGTGCGAGCCGGGGGCAGAAATTCGGGACACCCCTGGGCTTCTGCAGCGTCCCCCAGTTGACACCACGGCCGTGCTGCCGGCCGGTCCTGCGGGCCTCCCGCTGCAGCGCTGGGGCTTGAGCCCCCCGCGCCCGCCCGGAACGTGGTGGCCAGACCCTGGGCCCAATGCTCGAACCCCTCGCTCCCGGATCGGGCCCGCAGCAGGGTCCCGGGGAGCAGTTTAGTCGGGCGAGGCGAGGACAAAGGGGGCGGCCGTCAGGTACCTCCCAGTGGGGGAGCTCCGCGGTCTGGGGGGCACGGGGCCGAGGTGCGCTCCGGGCCATGGCTGTGCTGACGGCCCCCTGCTTGGCCGGCTCGTGAATCAGTTTGGGGCTGGAAGGGGGGGGAGGCGCCGGCTCTGGGAGATCCCGGGGTCTCCCCGGCCCCGCAGGTAGGGGGCACTGGGGAGCGCTCTCCCTCCTGGTCTGGTGATGGAGCCATCTGTGCGCGTGGCTGTTGCTGGGGCCCCAGATCTGGGTGTATGTCCCTCCCCCCCCCCACCACCATTAACTGTCACTGCATGTGCAAGTGACATACTGGATTGCTACCACCTGCTAATCCAGTGTGAACCCTGCACTCCCTGGTCTGTGAGTGCTTAGCGAGCAGCCTCCTGTGAGGTAGGAAAGTGGGTATTGCCTTTCCCAGGTGGGGAAATGGAGGCACAGACAGGTGGCATGGCTCATCCAGGCAAGTCAGTAGCAGCGCTAGGCACAAGTGCCCCATCAGAGCTAAAAGTGACCCCATTGCCTGACTTAGTCCTGTGCTCTAACCACTACACTGTACTGCCTCTTTCACCTCACTGCTGTAATCATCCCATGATCCGAAGCTGCTCTAGCCTTGGCTTCCAACACCACTTAGGTACTGCGGAGAGGGGTTCTTCAGAGGTGCTGTCAGACACCTCCTTGTATTTAGGCTGGTTACAAGAGACCCTTCCTAGAACAACCATGGCTGGCTTGGCAGAGAACAGTGTGGGGTGATTATACCTGTCTTTCTGTGTCATGGGTGTCACCACTGCCCTCTACTGGATGCACTCAGAATGGCCCAGCTGTATGTACTAGACCCCGTACAGCTAATAGCGACTCTCCTCTTGCTTGTGCTCCTGGAGTAGGAGGGCCTGTTCTGTGCCTGCTGTTGGTGAGCAGTGTGGGCATGACAGCGCTTTAGCAAAACTGTGGGAAAGGACTGAGCTCTTCCTGGCTCCTCCCACTGCTGACTCCCATCCACCCCTGCACTTGTCATACTTGTGCACTTGGCCCTGCCTGACCGTCTCAAGCTGGTATTCCAGTGGAGCCGGGGCTCTGAAATCCCAGCTGGGCTCTGCATCTTCAGCCTGAATTTTCTTGTTGCTCAGTGGGGTTTTATAGCATCTCTTCATAACATGAAAACCTCCCAAAAAATGGCAGAGAAGCTAAAACAGGACCAGTTACATTCCCCTGCATTGCCCTGTCTATGCTAGAGCTTTGGGAGGTGTTAGCACATGTTGGCTAGCACCTTCTAAGGACCCGCCTTTTCATCCATTTCCTTTGGGTGGGGGATGGGTTGTCTGGGCCCCCAGAGTTCAAACTGAAACTCAAGTCAGTTTGTTTAACGGCCCACTGGCCATCTGTTCCATCCCCCTCCCCGCACCCGTATGCTGCAGCATTCCTGGAGGAAGCACAACATTTGTACCAATAGTGAAACAAGGTCCTTCCTAAGAGGGGTGATCGACCTTCCTCTAAGGAAAATGTTATTTGGGGGCCTAACTAGATCTGAAGCTGTCCCCTTTTCCTGCCTCTGCTCTGCCCCGAGGAGTGTGTGCTGTGGACGGAGTGGGCCAGCAGCACTGCCACATTAATGGACTTAACATTTTAAGTGGTGATGACCATCAAGCTTTAAAGCTTAAACCCCTGCTGAAATGAAGCTCTCAATGCAGAGTGGTATTGTATTCCTCTGCTAGCTGCAAGGGCTTTGCTTCAGGGAAGGGGTGGTCCTGTTGTGAGTTAAGTGCAGTGCAATGCCCTGGGCTGCTCTTTTCCAAGGGGGGCAGATCCCAGCCCTCTGGCTATGGCTGCCAAATCATTGTTGGGTATTACCATTGCCTCTAGAAGTCATGGAGCAGGAATCAGCTCCTGGTAGGCATGTTTCTAGCAACCCTGAAAAGGCACAATCCACATCATGTCAGTCCCTCCCTGGTTCAGGACCTGCAGGGGTCTCCCCTTGTGCATTGACTCCTATTTGGTCAACCCCCTTTGGTGTGGCTCTTGCTGGCTGGTGGCCATGTGAGTGTGTGCCTCTCGAGATGCTGAGGGCGGCTGTTAGTGACTGGGATTCTGCTGCACGCTGTGGCCATCCAGCACAAAACTTCTGCCGGAGAACTGGTGCAATTAGAGATGGGAAGGGGCCACTCAATCTGAGGGTCCCATTTCACTGGGGGAGGTGGGGATTGCAAATGAGTCTGGCACAATTACCCTTCCCATATTGCTAAATGGGGAAGGGGAACCCAACTAGATCCAAGCACATGGGGAGGGGGATCCTTGCAGGGAAATTATTAGAGGATTGCAGCCCTGCATTCCAAGGACAGGTCTGTTCTCTGCCCAGGGTGCTCTTGGTCAGTGTGGAGCCGAATGCTCCTTAGTGGCAAAGAGGAATCTGAAGTGCTGTTGGGGCTGGAAGATAGTTGGGGGCTACCCCATCCCACGGGCTGGAAGAAGACTGTTGCAGACATCTGCTTAGCACGTTCTCCCTGCTGGGCAGAGAGGGGAGGCATGCTCAGGGGCATCTGTCTCAGCACAAAGGCTGAGGATCCAGCAGAGGTACCAGACCCAAATGCATTGAGCTGGGCCACCTGCCCAGAGTGCCAGCTCTCTGGCTAGATGCCCCAATTAGGGGGATGGGGGATGGAGCAGTGTACTGGGCACAGCACAGAGCCAGCATCACTGCCCAGAGTTCCCAATCTAATCCTACGGGAGGGGATACGGGAACAAAAAGGTGAAGTGACTCACCCATGGTTGTGTAGATGATCAGTGGCAGAGCTGGGAGTAGCGCCCAGGTGTCCTTATACAGTACCCTTGTCACTGGACCCTGCTGGCTCAGCAGCTGTGCTGCCTTTGAAACCCCTGCTCCCTGAGAAGTGCCTGCATGTTATCCCCTTGCTTCTGGCTAAAGCTCCCCGACCAGAGCTAACCCAGGACTGAGCAGCACTAACCATGGGGAGAGCCCACTCTCTCCGGGCTCAGCTCTGCTACTCCTGCAGCGCCTGACATCAGGTAGTCTGCTGTGCACGGCCCTCTAGTGGCCAGCCATGTCTGCGTGCTGCCGCCTGGGTGAGGGCCACCCTTCCCCTTGGCCTGCTCCTGGTGTCTGCTTCCCTCCAAGCCACCAGAGGCAGAGGGTGTGGGGCTCTTGGGGGGGGGGGGGCACCCAGCAGCCTGGGGACAGCGTAACACAACCTGGCTGTGAAACCCAACCAACAAGGCTGGAGCCTGTGAACTGGCCTCTTGCAAACCCAGTTGCTGCTGCTCTTGCTGTCAGCACTGCCCTGCCAGGCCTCTGCTGCAGGCGCATGTGTGTAGGGTGATAAGACCTGGCAGGGCCCTGCAGTGTGGGTTGCTCCTGCGGATCTGCAAGCTGAGCAATGCTCCTGGGGTTGGGGTTCTGAGGAAGGGATCTGGGACTGTGGCCTGTATTAGGAGCTGCCCATTGACAGGGCACCTCCACCCTGGATCATGGTCAAAGAGCCTTGCTGTCTTTCTGTTGTCAGTCTGGTTGTAGCCAGCAAAGCGCTCCCTTCCTATCTAAGGACTCTGACTCTCCTGGCGGGATGAGCTCCGCTTAGGCAATCGGACAGAAGCTCAAGATGCTTCCTGAGCTGTGGGATGGGGTCTCTGCCATGGCCATTGCTGAATAGTGCAGCCTTGCCAGACGAATGCATCAGCACCAGCCTCTCTGCAATGGAAGAACGGGAAGGGAACTGGAAGCAGGCAGGAGGGGGTCTGGGGGTGGAACATGGGTGGGGCCACCCCAGGCTGATTGGGGAGGCACAGCTTCCCCTGGTCTATGATATCTGCTGCCCATGCAGGGCAATTACTGGTTGATCCATCCCTTGTCGTCCAGTACCAGCATCTGGCAGTCAGAGGCCTATGGACACCCAGAGCATGGGGTTGCATCCCTGGCCATCATGGCTAATAGCCATTGATGGACCTATCCTCCAGGAACTTATGTAAGTTTTGTGGTTTTTACCCAGTTATAGTTTTGGCCTTCACAACATCCTGTGGCAGTGAGTTCCACAGGTTGACTGTGTTGTGTCAAGAAATACTTCCTTACGTTTTAAACCTGCCTATTAATTTCATTGGGTGACTCTGGGTTCTTGTGTTATGTAAAGGGGTAAATAACACTGCCTTATTCACTTTCTCCACAGCAGTCATGATTTTATAGACCCCTCTCATATCCTGCCTTAGTTGTCTCTTTTCCAAGCTGAACAGTCCCAGTCTCTTTAATCTCTCCTCATATGGAAGCTGTTCCATACCCCTGATCATTTTTGGTGCCCTTCTCTGTACCTTTTCCAATTCCAATAGATCTTTTTTGAGATGGGGCGACCAGACCTGCACGCAGTATTCAAGGTGTGGGCATACCATGGATTTATATTGCGGTGTTGTGATATTTACTGTCTTATTATCTATCCCTTTCCTAAGGGTTGTGAACACTCTTGGCTTTTTTGACTGCTGCTGCACGTTCTGTCCTAGGGGACATGCCCATAATCAAATCCATGTCATGACATGCATCATCCAGCGCTCTGGTTGCCAGTCTCAGTCCAGGTTGCCATGGCTTGTGAACTCCCTCCTGGCCTCTCCCCAAGGCCAACCTGAATGCAGGCTGGCAGGGATGGCGGGTGGCTGGGCGCTTGCCCTGCTGTTGTATGAGTTCTGTGGCTAAAGAACTCCAGTCTCCAGGGGCAGCAGCTCGGTGGCTTTGGCTAGCACTAAACTCTGCAAGAAACACCGACTGCCCCAGCATCCAAGCCTGAAGGAAGGGGCAGGGTTGCAGGCAGGAGATTGGGGTGGGGGGATGGGCTGAAAGGGAATACACCCATGCCAATAGCTGGCTGGGATGGGGCTGGAATAGAGCATATGTGGGCACAGCAGGGTTTGTCTCCCAAGCAGTGGTGGAACCCAGGGTGGCTGCATTCAGAGTTACTGTGAGATCTGCCCACCAGGCACAGTCCCTCTGCTTGTGCTGGCTCCCTGCACGGGAGTCTCCAGCGATGCAGGGCCTGGTGCTGATCCTTGACCCAGGGTGGAATGGCCTTGGTCTGCAGGGGGGGATGGCAAATCCCAAATGCCACTGAAATAGCCTGGGGAATGCCATGGGCATCAAACCTGGCAGGCTGGTGATCCAACAGCCTCTGCCAGCTGGCTCTGCCTGAGCTGCTCACAGGAACTGGTTCTGGAGGTGCTCTCCTCATTCCCTTCACAGACTGGCACTTCACTGGCAATGGGGTGGCTCCCGATTCAGGCTGAGCCCTGAGTGATGGCTCCCCTGGGGGAATGCAGGCTGTAGGGCAGCCCAGGGCATGGTGCTTGTCTGTGGTGTTCTCCTAGAGCAGAGGGCAAGTCCGAGGGGCTGGCAAGATCAGGGGAGGGGCACTGGGGTGTGGCTCTTGTAGTGAGAACTCCTGTTTCTCTTCCAGGACCCAGCAGGAGATGAGCTCTCTGGTTTATCCCAGCCTGGGCATGAAGGACCGCAAAGCAGTGGCCATCCTGCACTACCCCGGGGTGGGCATGAATGTCAGCAAGGCCAGCACAGGACCCCACATCACCAGTGCGGGCATGATGGCCCCCTCTGCGTCCCCCCCGCCCTCAAAGCAGCCATCCTTCACCCTGCCAACAGCCCCTCACCTGCTGGCCAGCATGCAGCTGCAGAAACTCAACAGCCAGTACCATGCCATGGGGGTCTCAGGGCACCCGGCAGAGGCTGGGTCCATCCAGAGCTGGGGCTTTGGAGCCCAGCCCCTGGGCCAAGGGGCACTGGCTCCCCCTGCTGGCGCCCACAGCCCTGGCATTATTGATTCTGATCCAGTGGACGAGGAGGTGCTGATGTCACTGGTGGTGGAACTGGGCCTGGATAGAGCTAATGAGCTCCCAGAGCTGTGGCTGGGCCAGAACGAGTTTGACTTTGCTGCAGATTTCCCTTCCAGCCGCTGATGCCAGACTGACCTCGACCACAGGCAACCCTGGCAGAGGACTTTAACAGGACAGCCGCCAAGGGCTGGCTGGCCTGATGGACCTGGCCCTCCAGCCAACTGAGGCCTCTGGGCCTGGTTCCTACTACAGCTGAGTACCCCTCTACAAGGCTGCACCTGTGCGGTTCAGGACAGTTCGGTGCAGCTGGAGAAACTACAGCGCGGCTGGTACTCCATGGGCTTCTCTGAGCTGTGTGACCTAGCGCCCGGTGGGGTTGCACCTTGCTGTGCAGGGCCAGCGTCTCCTGCTGGATGGATGGCCGGTGCTGGATGGGGGAATGGTGCCCTGGGGACTAAATCCCAAACTGGTGCTGGAGAAGGAAGCGGACTGGCAGGAGAACGTAGCAGGGCGGAAGCTGAAGACTGAGGAATGGAGGCTCACGCAATATGTACACCCCTGCTGTGGCCTGGGAAGGGCTGCCTCAACAGGGTCTCTCACACAGCTCCCAGGGACCAGAGCTGTATCTCCCACCCCTGCAGGGGGCCAGTGACTTGCTTTACAGAGGAGACCACCAGGGGCTAAGCACAGTACCTGCACTGCTGGGGGTGCTGGGACAAGGTTGGGGGGCAGGGTCTGTTTCTGCAACAGTGTGGGGCTGCTCCTGTGTGGCTTTTCAATAAAACCTGTGGAAGGAATCAGCCTGCCCACAAGGCTGGGGCCTGGCTCCTGTCACCTCTTGTGCTGATTTACAGTCGTGCCTGGGGTTACCAACTTTCTGATTGCAGAAAACCAAACATGCTTGCCCTGTCCCACCCTTTCTCCAAGGCTCTGCCCCCGCTCACTCCATCTCCCCTCCCTCTGTTGCTAACTCTCAACCACCCTTGCTCACTCACTCATTTTCACCAGACTGGGGCAGGGGGTTAGGGTGAAGGTCCAGCTGGAGGTGTGGGCTTGGGAGTGGGGACAGGGATGAGGGGTTTGGGGGCAGCAGGAGTGTGGGAGGCGGCCCCATGCTGGGGGTGTAGGCTGCAGGGTGTGGCCAGAAATGAGGAGTTCGGAGCTCTGGGATGGGGCAGGTGGTTGAGGTGTGTGTGTGGGGGGGGGGAGGGTCAGGAGTCGGGGCTCAGGCTGGGGGTGCAGGCTCACATGGGGCTGAGGGGTTTGGAGTGTGGGAGGGGTGCAGAGCACGGGCTCTGGGAGGGAATTTGGGTGCAGAAGGGAATTCAGGACTGGGGCAGAGGGTTGGGGCATGGGAGGAGGAGGAGGGGTGGGGTGCAGGCTGCAGATGGTGCTTACCTCAGGTGGCTCCCAGAAGCGGTGGCATGTCTCTCCTCCAGCTCCTAGGTGGAGGCGCAGCCAGGCAGCTCTGCGCACTGCCCCATCTGTAGGCACTCCTCCCGCAGCTCTCATTGGCTGTTGTTCCCGGCCAATGGGAGCTGCGGAGCCGGTGCTTGGGGTGGGGTCAGTGCACGGAGCTCCTTGGCTGCCCCTGAGTCTAGGAGCCAGAGGAGGGATATGCCGCCACTTCTAGGAGCCAGGGCAGCTAACCGGACTGCGCAGCCAACCGGACTTTTAACAACTCGCTCAGCAGTACTGACTGGAGTTGCCAGGCTCCCTTTTTGACTGGGCGTTCTGGTCAAAAACCAGATGCCTGGCCACCCTTGTCATGCTGCCAGTGCTGCTGTTGGAGCTCCCCTGTTCTGGTGGCTGGAATGGACAGGTGCCTGATGCACCAAGGGTGGTGTTTTGGGCCTGCTCCTGACCTCAACTGGTGTGATGCAGCGAGCTGTGGCTGGGTTACAGCTGTGAGCATGAAATCTGAGTTGAGAGGGGCTAGGGCTGTGGTAACACAGGCTAGGGTGCCCAGCGTGTGCCTCTCCCTAGGGCTAGGGCTGAACCCCTGCCTGCATGGTGCTCTGCTGCCCTAGTCAGGGGGGAGGAATCTGCTACTGTGAGGGAGCGTGCAATGACAGCAACGCTCAGTAACATCCCTGCTGTGCTGGTAATGCCAATTAAACCAATGGGCGAAACAAGCTGCTCTAGCAGCTCTGTGGGGAATTGACTAGGCGGGGCTGCTAGTGCCTCCTTGTGGAGGGTGGGAGCCAGGGTCTGCCTTGGGGCTGGATTTTTCAGGGGGTCCCAGCACTGAGCAGAGGGGTGAATTCCCCCCTCTCTGGGAAAGATGGGGTGCCCTGTGGGTCTCCATGGGAGCTTGTGGGTGTGGATTCCTTCTATCTGCATGACAACTGAGTGTGTAGGAAGAACTGCTGCTGCCATGCTGCAGCGATGGTGTGTCTACACGGCACTGTCCACGTGGCAGCAGCCAGGGTATGTACCCGCCCAGCCTTCTCCCCGTTCCCCTGTGTGCCCAGCAGGGACAGACATGTCCTCCGATGATTGGCTGGGAAAGAAATCAGAGAGGTGCTCAGCTTCACTGCAGTTCTAAGAACCATGGGCCATGCCCCCACACAAAGGGCCAGTGTGAACATGGCAGCTCACATGGTTTGTTGCAGCATGGCTGCTCTCGCTCCACCTAGGCTAATATGAGAAGAGCAACTGAGGCATAAGTAGCTTGAATTCTGCAGTGAAAACGCATCCAAACGCTACTGCCCTGCTTTGTACATGCACCCCACATTTAGCACCAATCACCCCACTGTTTAGGCACAGACCCACAAATGCTGGGATGTAGAAGAAGCTGTTGAGCTGAGGACACATTTCATGGTCTTGGCCCCACCCAGTGGCCACAAGGAAAACTGCGTGAGCATGTCCGTATATGGCTAGGGCTATGTTTACACTCCTGGGGGTGGGGGGTCGATTTCAGATAAGCAAATTCAGCTACGGGAATAGCGTAGCTGAATTCGACGTATGAGCTCTGACTTATCCCGCTGTGAGGACGGTGGCAAATCGACCGCCGCAGCTCCCCCGTCGACGGCGCTTACTTCTACCTGGGCTGGTGGAGTACGCGCATCAATTCGGGGATCAATTATCGCGTCCCGATGAGACGCGATAAATCGATCCCTGAGAGATCGATTTTCTACTGCCGATCCGGGCAGGTAGTGAAGACCAGCCCTAGGAGTACTTGTGGCATCTTAGAGATGAACAAATTTATTTGAGCAATTTGTTAGTTTCAAAGGTGCCACAAGTACTCCTGTTCTTTTTGTGGATACAGACTAACACGGCTGCTACTGTGAAACCTGTCGGTATGTGGCTAGTACACCCACCAGGATGGCAGCAGTATCTCAGGGGATGCTTGGTTAAAAGGACAGGCGAGCCCGGCCATCTGAGCAGCACCTATGCAGTGGAAGCGATGGGCCAGGCCTGGAGATATTACAATGACCCTGCAATCAGAGATCACAGATGGGGTAGGGAACGGGGGCAGCAGGTGCTGGCAAAGAATGTGGGGATGAGGTCAGTGCAATGGCCCTGGACTCTGCTCTGGGTCCAAACCAGGCATCTGTGAAATGAGTTTGGCAACCTGGATTTAGACAAGAGCAGACGCTCCCCTGCACGGTGCCTGTGGGTGCCACTGCTGGGCCTACTGGCTGTGGCTGCTATAAGCCATTGGTCTCTTGCCTAAACCTCCCCCCTCTCATCACCCTTAGGAGACTGGCTCCTTCCCAAAGCACTGTGGGAATTGGCTGAATGCTGGGCTGGTAGGGAAGGGCTCTAGGGTGGAGCATCTTGCTGGAGCCAACCCCTTTTGGTAGGGTTACCATATTTCAACAATCAAAAAAGAGGACGGGAGGAGCCCCGCCCTAGCCCCGCCCCTGTCCTGCCCTAGCCCCGCCCCTGCCCCTTCCACTCCCTCCCACTTCCCACCCCCTCAGAACCCCCAACCCTCCCCCCCACTCCTTGTCCCCTGACTGCCCCTTCCTGGGACCCCTGCCCCAACTGCCCCCCAGGACTCCACCCCCTACCTAAGCCTCCCTGCTCCTTGTCCCCTGACTGCCCCCTCCTGAGACCCTCCCCCCATCCTAACTGGCCCCCTAGAACCCTACCCCCTACCTGTCCCCTGACTGCCCCAACTCTTATCCACACCCCCACCCCCAGACAGACACCAGGGACTCCCACGCCCCATCCAACCACTCCCCACCCCCTGACAGCCCCCCCCCCCAGAACTCCCGACCCATCTAAACCCCTCTGCTCCCTGTCCCCTGACTGCCCCCTCCTGGGACCCCTGCTCCTAACTGCCCTCCAGAACCCCACCCCCTACCTAAGCCTCCCTGTTCCTTGTCCCCTAACTGCCCCCTTCTGAGATCCCCCCACCCTAACTGCCCCCCAGGACCCTACCCCCTACCTGTACCCTGACTGCCCAAACCTTACACCCCCCAACCCCCAGGCAGCCCCCCCCGAACTCCCGACCCATCCAACCCTGCTCCCTGTCTCTTGACTGCCCCCTCCAGAACCTCCCTGCCCCTTCTCCGGCCCCCTTACCGGGCTGCTCAGAACAGAGGGCTGCAGAGCAGCGCGCTCGGCAGCAGGGGAGGGGGGAGCAGGGGGAGGAGCTCCAGACTGCCGGAGGCCCGATGCGAACGGCCTGCCATCTGTGAATGCAGGGAGGGGGAGGGAGAGAGCGAGAAGAGGGGAGTGATTTCAAGCTGCAGGGAAGAGGAGGGGGAAGTGGAGGAGGGGCTCTGGCTCTCGGAGCCCCATGCAAGTGGCACGATCCGGCCGGCTGCCCTGTCAGCCACGCGCTCTCTGCATTGGGGGGAAATCCGGACATTTAGGAATTCCCCCCGGACGCTATTTTTAACTCAAAAAAGCCGGACATGTCCGGCAGAATCCGGACGAATGGTAACCCTACTTTTGGGAGGCCCTGGGAGGGTGGGAGATGGGTTGTTGCATTAATGGGGAACTAGCATTGAGGAGCAGAAAGGGAGTGTGAGATCAGGAATCCACTTCAGAACAGTAACTTGGTGCTGAGATCTGCAAGGCAGCCTGGGGGATTTGGACATGTTTCAGTAACTGGATGTTCTGTCTCTAAAGCCCCTAGACTGCCTGGGAAGTTTCAGCCCCCTTTTTTAGCACTTCAGTAGAGACTGGTACGATGGCCCCACAAACGAGGGGTGCTGAAGATTTTAGAATTCAGCTGGTAAAATCCCAGCAGAGAGACGAGAAACACACCAAAAGGGACACCAACAAGAATAAAACCATATAATTAATAACCAAAGTGCCTCCCCTGAGTTGTTCCCCCACCTGAGATGATTAAAATGGGAATATTTAGCACTTTAGATGTTAGAGTGCCATGCAAACAGGAGCTAATTCATCCTCAGAACGTCCCAGTAAAGTAGGTGAGTTTATCACCCTGTGTTACAGATGGGGAAACTGAGGCACAGTGAGGGGCAGCGACTTGCTGAAGGTCGCACAGGACATCAGCAACAGTCAGGATTTGGGCCCATCAGCTTCAAACTCCTAACCTAGTGCCCTGTCATGCTGCAAGTGCCTTAAACACCAAATGGGCTTCTGGTTGGTTTCTACTGTTTCCTTTTTGCCCTGTCCTCAGACCTCACTTTAACACCTCAAAGGGGGGAGGGGTCTGCAGATACTGCACTGGTGGTAGTTTTGTCACTGACATCAACAGGCTCAGGATTGGATGCGTTGTGTAGTATCGCACCCAGGGTAAGAGTGAAGACGACAGCATGGGGCTCCCTGCTTA